ATAGGACACTCAGTCTGGTAGACAAGAAGTCATCGACTTCTTTACGGATGGTGAGGGGACTGACGTCGGCTAGCCGTTCGACTTTCCCTCCCCCATCAAGCCCTGAGCCATGGGTTAGCGGCGTCAGCGGAATGCGAGGACGAATCAGTCCGTTCACGTAGAACGGCGTGTAGCCGGTGGACGAATGCACTGCATTGTTCAGTGCAAACTCTACGGTTGGCAACATGGAGCTCCAGCGCCTTGGCGTCTCAGCGGTGACGCTGCGAAGAACTTCTTCGATGACGCGATTCACCCTTTCGGTTTGACCATCGGTCTGTGGAAGATCCACTGCCGACATATTTAACTTGGTGCCTAGCACCCTGAAGATAGTCGACCAAGATTTTCCCGTGAAACGGGGGTCTCTATCAGAGACAATCGACTCCGGGAGTCCGTGTTGACGGAAAATACGATCCACGAACAGCGTTGCTGTACCGACCCCATTGATTGTGTCTGACACCGTCGCCAAACGAGCCATCTTGCTCAACTGGTCGACAAATACCACGACTCCCGTGTTGCCGGCCGAATCTTTGGACAGGCCAAACATAAAGTCCAAACTCATGGACTGTCAGCATCCAGTGGATACCGGTAAGCTGGCCAGCGGAGCAGCCGCATTTGAAGAGGGTTCTACCCGTTGACACGTCTCACACGTGCGCACATAGGTGCTCATCAGTTTGTACAACTTGGGCCACCCAATAGTAGTGACTCACAGAGTTGTACGACCGAGATGACCACTGAGTGGCGTATCGTGAGCCTCATAGAGGATGCGATATTTCAAATCCTCGACATGAGGAACCACGATTTGTGGTGTATCCGTTGAATCGGTGCTATAATATAGCAACCCATTATTCAACAAATATCGTTGCAATTGTTAGTGCATTCTTGATGACAAGTTCTTGTCCGAATTTTTAAACTCCTTGTTCCCTAGAGCCCGTAGCAATGCTACACACATCCCATCACCCGCATACGCGGTGCGGATCAAATCCGTCACAGACGACGTTACAGTTGTTACATGAGCAAGCTTATAGTCTGGTCTGCGTGATAACGCATAAGTCAAAGCATTCTGCTTTCCCGGCTTATACTTCACTTCGAAGATATATCCCGCAAAGAAGGATAGCCATCTGGTCATCCTCTGCGAGAGATGGGACGACTGAGTCGCAGTGCGTAGTGACGCATGATCTGTATAGATCACAAACTGGCTTGGAGCCGAGCAGGTGGACCCTGAACTTGACAAGTGCATAATTCATCGCAAAAAGCCCCTTGTCAAGAACTGGGTAGTTCTTCTCTGCAGCTTTGAGCTTTCAAGATTCAAACGCGATCACCCGATCTCGCCCCTCGCCGTCTGCTTGCAGCAGTGCACAGCCGATGACAAAGTCCGAAGTGTCACAGACGACGCTGAAAGGACGATCAGGGTCTGACAGTGCCAGTATTAGTGCATGCAGGGGGCTGTTTTTGACCTCCTGATGTTCGGTGTTCCAACGCCATTCCGCATCCCTTAAAAGGAAATTGGATAATGGCCGGGCCATTTCTGCGTAATTTACGCTATACTTTTGCAAGTAGTTGGCGAGACCAAGCCACTTACGCAAGTCCTTCTGGTTCTATGAAACCGGCCAGCCTACAATAGCCTTGCCCTTAGCGGGATTCGCTCGAAGACCACGCTTCCCAATGAAGCACCCTAAAAAGGGGTTCTCTC